TAATTTTGAGATGAAAGATCTTGGAGGTGCTTCCTATGTACTTGGCATTGAAATACATCGTGATAGAAATCGTGGTTTATTGGGACTTTCTCAGAAATCTTATATACGACGTGTTCTAGAAAAGTTTAATATGCAGAATTGTGCACCTGGTGATGTACCTATCATAAAAGGAGATAAGTTTAACAAAACTCAATGTCCAAGGAATGAGTTGGAAAGGGAGTCTATGAAGATGATCCCATATGCTAGTGCTGTGGGGAGTTTGATGTATGCTCAAGTTTGCACTAGACCGGATATAGCCTACGCAGTAAGTGTCCTTAGCAGATTTCAGTCTAATCCAGGACAAGAGCATTGGAAAGCAGCTAAGAAAGTTATGAGATATTTAAACAAAACTGAAAGTTATATGCTTACATTCCAGCGTACAAATCATCTTGAGGTGGTAGGATATTCAGATTCTGATTTTGCGGATGTCAAGATGATTTGAAATCAACCTCAGGTTACATTTTTACATTAGCAGGTGGTGCCATTTCTTGAAAAAGTGCTAAACAGACTTTAGTGGCATCTTCTACTATGCAAGCTGAATTTGGGGCATGTTATGGGGCTACAGTCCAAGCCGTTTGGTTAAGAAATTTCATCTCTAGCTTGAAAGTTGTTGATTCCATCTCAAGACCGATCACCATCTACTGTGATAACAGTGCAGCAGTATTCTTTTCAAAGAATAATAAAAGTTCTGGTGGATCAAAATATATTGTCATCAAATACTTGGTTGTTAGAGACAAAGTCAAAGAAGGGCAAAATAGAGCATATTAATACAGAGGCGATGGTTGCAGATCCCTTGACTAAGGGGCTCGCTCCAAAAGTCTTTAAAACACATGTTACTAATATGGGTATTGTGGAAACATTTGATGTTTTTGGTTAGTGGGAGTTATTTATGTAAAGAACTACGTTTTGGGCTTGATCCCTTTACGGGGTACGTAGGCAACCCATATATTTTTGGGTACAGCCCCTTCTGATAATAAAATAAATTTTCCCCTATCCATGAACTATTTTTAAGCATGCATTTGACTTATGTTTTTTTTTTATTGATATCTTGAAAGACATAAGATGAGTCTCTTTTAGAGACATGTGGCTTCATTTTGATTCGAAGCATTATGAGGACCGATATGAGTTAGCACAGTTTTTGATCACATTTGGTGCTAAGTTCATACCACATACTACCGCATTGGTTGGAGGATGGAGATCCATGTCGATAAGGATGTTGACATTTGTAGCTGTGGAATGGTCTTACATCTCTTAAATTGGTGTAATGACTTTCATGTTCGGTGTTAATATTCTTGTTGGACCGGATCATGTTACGTAAGGTGTCATCATTGGAGCTATACTTTTGTGGCCACCTATGTAGTCTAACTCGGGTATTAAAACTTTGTTATAGCAATCAAATGTTTGCCCAAGTGGGAGAATGTTGGAATAATTAATAATTTCATATGTGGGCTTCACATTCGATTGCAAAATTTTACGGATTAGATATATGGCTCATAATGATATTTGTGTTTGGGCCAAATTTATTAAGTGATCAATTGGACCTTTTACACCTTACGGGTTGTAATTAATTTGATATGGTAATTAAAGTATGTGGGCCGAAAATGAACACTAATTATAATTCTAGTCGTAATGGGACGGCTCAAATTATTTCCTATATATAAAGGTTAGGTTCCCTCTCCTCTCCATATATGTTTTCATTAGCTTGCCCCATTGATAGCTAATACTTTTGTGAGGAGCAAGGAGAGGAAGATCTTGTCTACTATTACAACTATAATTCATATCAACAATGGCTTCCGCAGGTATGAAATTCGTTTCTATTAAATTTTATTGGATTGTGATTATCGATTCTTAACATGATTAAAACTAAATTTTATTGGGTTTCAAAATTTTGAGAGTGGATCATAATTCCTAAGGCAAAGCCCCTTGTCTAGCGTCACATGGGCCATGGACGTCAAGCAAAACTCAATTTCTCGTCCCACTTTGTTTACCCATTTGGTGCAAGACAGGTTGGGGCAGGGAATTTCCCATCTCTAATTTGGTAAAGTGTTGATATTTAATGACATCACTTAGAATTTACTTAATTTTAATTCTTGTTTGATGGGATTAAAATTTTATTTTAGTAAATTTTAATATAAAATATGTGTTTAAAATTAATTATTGACATTGACTTAAATTAAAATCCTGATTTACAAAGCCCCACTGGCATATAGATTTCCAATCTCCATACTCCCAATTTCTATTAAAAAAAACCTATAAAATATTCCTAGAATTTTCAGTGGGATGGGGACTGTAATAATTATTACTTTTTTCTTTGTTGGTATAAACCCAATGATTGTAGAGTTCATTAAATGAGAATTTTTCTAATTTCTCTTCAGAAAGCTAACATTATAGCAAAAAAGAAAAAAAAAAGTAAGCATATTAATTATCGTAAAATGGAAATTGGTTTTCCATTAATTTGCGTGCAGTGTGGCGCGGCCAGCAAGGTGGTGGGTTCAATGCTAGGGTTCTTGGCATTTGCTGCGACGACACTGGTGGAGTTGCCGGCGAGGACTTTGGTGTATTGCTTTTGCCACTTGAAGGGCCATTGTATTATGGTTCATCATGTCACCGTATTTTGTCTTTGTGAGTCAAAATCTATTCAAATATAAGTAATAAGTAGATACACAGTGTTAGACGAGAGTAAGCAAAGACAACATAACTAGAACCAATTTATATTTGAGAAATCCAAACAACGTAGTTCTTTCTCGTTACAATGGAGTAAATATTCACTTCAAGATAATTTTAGCGAATTGGCAGAAAATATTAAAAAATCCATGGTATTACACTTCACAGTGCAACCAGGGGCAATCATTCAAACTCAATATTGAAAACTGAAGTATAATATATACTTACAAGAGATAAGAAAAGAAGAAAAATCAAATTATTGAAAATAAAATTATTTGAATTTGTCCTTAAAAATGTTAATACTAGACATTCACATAATGTTTAGGTTTGTTTTGAGAGGATGGTTTATCATCATCATCATCATCCTCCTCCTTGTCTTCCTCCTCCTAAAGAAAAGAAACAACAAATTATATCGAAATATTTAAAATGACAATTTATTTTTTATTTCTTTTATTTTTTTGAGAATATGATAATGGATAGAGATATAGAGAATTAGGGTTGATAAACAGTTCAATAGGCATCTCCCGTATTTTCGGTTAGAGATTAAAATAAAGAAAATTTAGTATTCATAAAATAAACAAAAATTTTATCAATTTTTTAAATTCTTTATATTTTGATGATTTTCTTTAATTCTACTATAAGTTACAAAATTATCAAATTTAAGAAATGCTGATCTTAATCGAATCACATATAAATTAAAATGACTCAAATTAGTTGTCACTAGAATGTCTCATCATTCTGGATGTTGAAAGCAAAATTTAAATAGATATTTTTGTGGAGTTATAATACTATACATGTTAATGGATGCTGCGGTTATTTGTTTACTATTATAGATATTTTAGTTGTTCTATATGTTGTAAGATGAAAGTCTAGAATTCAAATTCCACAAAAAAAAAAAAAAAAAAAAAATTTCATCTAACAAACA